GCCCAGCCGGGGGCTTGTGGCGGATTGGCACATCCACGCCCGGCCAAGGCTGGCTAGCACCGTCTCCTACCTGAGCCAGTGTGGTGTCAGCACAGGCCTTCCGGGCATCCTGCAGGGAGGGGGAAGGGCAAGAGACAGAGAGAGCATGAGGGGCAAGGCAGACTCAGGCATAGGATCGGAAAACTTCTGTGGGCCAGGGGCCCGGGTTCTGTGTTGTTTTCACGGCCCCCAAAGCAAGGGGCTCCTGGGCGCTATGGCACCGTCTCCTACCTGAGCCAGTGTGGTGTCAGCACAGGCCTTCCGGGCATCCTGCAGGGAGGGGGAAGGGCAAGAGACAGAGAGAGCATGAGGGGCAAGGCAGACTCAGGCATAGGATCGGAAAACTTCTGTGGGCCAGGGGCCCGGGTTCTGTGTTGTTTTCACGGCCCCCAAAGCAAGGGGCTCCTGGGCGCTATGGCAACACCACAAATAAGCATAGAGAGTACTATGAGGCACAACACCTGCCCCTCCCCACCCCAAGCTACTTTTCTCCCCCATTAAGTCCCTCCCCTGGGGTGCACCCCACAGGCAGGGAGGTTAAATCCTACGGAGGATGTGGAGTCTCCGATGCAACACTCTCATCCCGGCCTCACAGATCACCCCCCCCCCACCACATGCCAGGCGCGGTTCTTTCTTGGGGTTGGATAGTGGCTGCCTTCCTAGGGGCTCCTGGGCCCAAGGTAGGAGAGAGCTGAGATCCCACAGGAGCAGAGGTGGTGGCTCTCTCTGGATGGGAATTCCCTGCCTTGGAGGGCGGTGCCGTTCTCTTGGGCTGGGATTCCCCTGAGTAGATGGGAGGGGGAGTGGGCCACATGGTCTGATCCGTGCTTCATCTCAGGTGTTACCGCAATCTGCTTCTTCAGCTGCTCGGCCTCCTGCCTCATCTGTTCCATTTCCCCCATCTCGGCCGCCTAGCAATGAGTCCTCCACTCGGGGAAGCCTGAGTCCTGGGGAGACCAAAACAGGGCAGGAGCTGTAACAGGGTCTCACCTTTCCCTTGCATCTCCCAGCACTCAGCTTCCCAAAGGGCTTTACCTGCCAAGAAACAGCCAGGACTGGGGTGGGACTTGGCAGCCATTTAACAACTGCATTACAGGGCACTTTGGGACAGGAAGTGAAGGGGAGTGCTGTATCTGGCTGAACCTGTGACGGGAACGTAGGAAAGAGGAAAGGACTCACCTCAGCTGAGGTTTGGCCAAGAAAATGCATTTAATTCCCCAGCTCCTGGGGAGAGTGCAGGCCCAGACACAGGAATTTCTGTGGGGGACAGGTGCTTTTTTTGTAAATGCGGACCACAAGGGTATGAATGTACCCCCATGGTCCCCCAGGTAAGCAGGGAAATCAGCCCCAGTCTTCCCCCAGTGGCCAGAGCATGGGAGAGGGAGGTTGGGGTAGGGCACCACTCTTGTCTCCTCCCAGCTAGCCGGAGCACACTTACTTGGGGGACCATGGCGGGAGGCTTTTGCACCCTTCACACATTCCCTCCCACCCCCGCAAGGCCTGGAGTGACAGATCTCAGGCAAGCAAAATCCTAGTTTCATATCACCTCTAAAAACCTCACTAGCATCACATAGCCCAGGGACGCGTGCTCACTCTGAGCAGCAAGTGAGTCCTCTTCACAGCTTTCTCAGCTCTACTTACAGTGCCCTGTTTTCCCTGTCACGCCCCATCCTGTCCCTCACACACCTGCTCTTTGTGAGTTCAGTATTTCCCTGGTGATGGTGTCATGTTCCCGGATGTGCCCCATGTGATTTGCATCTCACCTGTTTGTTGCCAGGGATCAGCTCCCAGGTTGGGAGGGTTCCTTGAGCCCAGCCAACCTTGAGGGCAGTGGCAGACCCTCACCAGGCCCCGAGCTTCCCCAGGCCAGGAAACACAATGGCTTGGATCTCTTCATCCAGCACCTGGTGGTACATTGTGCTCTATTCAGCCCTAGCTCCCCCTTTGCCTGTGGTGGGCTCCAAGCCCTTCCCTTGGGGAGACAGATCCATAGGTTCACGCCCCGCCCAGCACTGGGGGGGATGGCTTGACTCAGTCTCAGACCCTTTCTGTGTAGTTGCCTCCTCAGGCACATGCGGACAGTTCTCAAGACTCTCCCTTTGTTCCCAGTTTTGCCAAGCCTGCTGCATGAAGCTCTTTGACTCTCTTGCCAGAACTGGACTCCCCCACATCCCCCCCGTAACGTTTCTGTGGCTCTTCCTCGAGTTCCCCCACCCGAACCATCCTGCAGCATCCTCAAAGCCCTGCTCGGGGGCCCCGGAGGTGCCACACACTCTCCCAGCTTTCGTTACACACAGAGTTTGACTTCTTGCAAAGAGCCTTAAAAGAGCAAGGCAAGTATCACTGGGGGAGTTGTTCCTGGGTTTCCTGAAAGCATCCCCAAGACAGCCTCTGGAATCCAGGAAAGCCAAGGCTACAAGCCCTTGGGTTTTTGGGATGGCCTATGGCTGCATTTGTGAGCCAGAGTCCCTTGGGCTGGTCCTGATGACCCTCAGAGGGTATGTCTACACTACCACCCTAGTTCGAACTAGGGTGGTAGTGCAGACATACCCAGAGTGAGCCAAGGCCTCCCTCTGCTAGCTGCCTGTGTCTGAGTGGTTGGGGTCACCTGTGGCCACCCAGGGGGCACTCAGTAGCATCAGAGGCAGCACGTTCCAGTGAAGTAAAAGGAGTATGGCCAGCAAATTACTAATCTCAACACTAATCCCAGATTCCTCTGTGGCTTTGGGTAGGTCCCTTCCCTTCACTGCACCCCAGGTCTCCCAGCTATGAAATGGGGACACTAATTTAAGCAGGATCCCCCATCCAGGGGGGTGAGACAACCAGCTGATGTTTGGCAGGTGAGGACTGGCTGCTTCCCCCCACCCCGTCCAACTTCCAGCCTGCTTGGATAATTGTTCCTCTAGTAAAAGTTGGCAACGGGGCAGAACCCAACACAAGCTGCTTGGCTCTGTTCTCTTGAACAGAAACAGGCCTTAAAGACTCCTCCCATCATCACCCCACAAGTTAAAAAATCACAAGTCAGGCTCTGAGACCATGAGATTTAAATAAAAAATACAAGGGCACCCTTGTTTCTTTGTGGTCTGGGCCTTGTGGATGCCTGTAGGTCCCGTTTCCCAGCCCTTCTCCCCAGGCTAGAGCCGTACGGTTTAAGATGAAAGCCGAGAGTCTCAGGTAGGGATGGAATCAGGAGCAGGGGCTTTAGCAAAAGAATCAAATATTGGAAGATGTGATGAAATCAGGAAAGCTAGCGCCACTACCACACACACTTTGTATAGAGCATTAAGGTCAGGGTGTATCCCACAGAGCCATCCCCAGCCCTGGAAAACCTCAGGCCAGGCTGGTGAGGAACAATAGTGCCCCGCATAATCAGGAAGCTGTTCCCTTTCAGGCATGGGGAACAATCTTTCTGGACTTTGTCCTTCTCCCCACTTCCACCCTCCCATGCATCAGCAACGTCCAACTGTGCCCAGCTGAGTTCAGCTGCCTCTGCTCACATCAACCAGAGCATTTCCCGCCCTCCTTGCATGGCCCCTGTGCTACACTCCTGCCATTAGTTCTCTGTACCTCCTCTGGAACCTCTGGGCAGTCCTCATGCTGCACCCACCTTCCGGCAGGGCATTTCTCTCTGGCTTATCTCCTCCAGCCTCTGTTTTGGGGTCCCTGTGGGCTGAGTACCAGGCCCTGCTTCTGAAATCTTTGTCTCAGAGGCTTCATTGGCTCTGGCCTGGACAATTGCCTCTTCCTTGAATCCAGCCTCCCTACTGCTGTTTGGCTCTGATACCCCACCACAGGCTTGTGGGGCTGCTCCTCTGCAGTTCCTGCCTCCTGGACTCCTCTGCCTTCCCCACTGCCCAATCCATTTCCAGCCCCACCTGCACAGCCCCTTCCTCCCTTGGCCTGTTTGCTTACTGTCCCTTGGGTTGGGGACCAGAGTTTGTGGGAAGCTGCTCCGTGAAATGAAGTTGCACAACGAGATGAGGGGCTTGCAGAGCTGGCAGGAAGATCAAAAGGACAAGGGTGAGCTGTCAAGGAGGGATAGAAATGCTAAATATAGAGGGAGCAAGAGGAGCTATGGCTCAGTTTCAGGTCTTCATTAGGACCCTTAAATGCCTTTGAGGAACCAATCTAATGAAGGTTGGGAATTGTTTCTAGCCCCAGAAGGACAAGGAGCCAGAGCTGAGAGAGAATAATAACTCTACCTTCCCCATAGCCACCACTGTGCCTCCTCCCAAAGTGATCTGCAGAGAATGAGTCACCTATTCAGCTCTGAAATGCAGCTGCCTCTTGGGAGGGGCATGGTAGGTACTTACAAGTGATACTGCATGAAAATTTAGGACAGGAAGTGGAGGAGAAGAATTGAATCAACAAAGAAAACTCAAGGAAGCCGAATGGGGTCGGGAGTGGTTGGGGGAGATGGCATCCGCTACTGAGTCAGCCAGGCCAATCTGCAGCACATCCCCCTTAGCAATGTCCCTGTCTTCTGCCGCATTTCCCCTTCCCACCCCTGCGACTCCAAAGAGTCAACACGCTCCCCGGTGCCTCCTCTAGGCTGCCCTTTAGCCATGCAGAGCTACTAGCTCGTCCTCCTCTGCTCTTAGGCCTATAAGCCAACAGCCAAGTCCCTGCAGGCCCTGGGTGTATTTACTACAAACTAAGCAAATCCAGCATTGTCTCTCAACGTGTCTGTCCAGTTCTCTGCGTGCCGGCCCCTTCGCGCACTGCTGGGGCTCTTGGCCTGGATGCTCCTCTGGACAGGGCCTGTGTCTGGGTCAGGGTAGCGCTTAGCACCAGGGCTGGGCACTGGCATGGGAATAGCAACCCTACCCTAAACAAACTGTACTAATGGCAGCAGGGAGCACTCCAGCCCTGCGGCACAGCCCCCGAACTCCACCCCGGGCACTGGTCACCCACTCCACCTCATTCTGTTTGAATGAGGACTGGGGGAAATTGTTGGGTGGGGTGGTGGCACGGGAGGGGTACAGCCCTCTGGTTTAGATCAGCCGGCATCTCCTCACCTATCTTGGAAAGGGGACTGCAGCTCAGCTGGGGAGCCTTAAATAGAAAAGCGAAAGGTACGGAAGGGCTGAGGATTAATAGGGGATGTTGTGGGTCCCTGTGTAATCCCTAGACAGGTGTATGCGCTTGCCCTGGTAACCCTGAGCTTCTTCAGAGCTGAATAGAGATGATCCTCTTCCTCAGCCACAGAGATCAAAGGGCAAGGGTAAAATTACCCTGATCTTACTTTTTCTCTAAATGGGACAAGCGCTTGCTGCAACAAGCTGGGTGGGGAGCACGAGCGCATGGGTTCCTATTGGAGAGTCTGCATCCCAGCTACCGGTGCGGGGAGGGGGGGGGGGGTCATACACATCTGAGACATGTTGGAATCTGCTGTGATTTTATCCTGCGAGGCGAGGGGGAGGGTCTCCCCCTCCCATGTGCAAAAGGGATGAGTGGTTTTTACTCCAACCTTCTTCCCACAGAAAACCCCTCTTCCACACAGTCTACACATCTAGTTACAAAGACAGACCCACACCCAGAGCCCCTGGATCTGCAGAGAGGGTCACCGATAGTCCCCCGGACTCACTTATGGGTAAAGACCTTCAGGAGAAGGAGGTAGGCTCAGGGGAAGCAGCAACGCAGGGATGTCCTTACCGTGCGTGGGCTGTGGTGGCCGCTGTCCCCTCCTGGTAGGCACTCCCTTGGTCTCCTGGGGGTTTAGCTCCCCTCAGGATGGGAGCCCTGGTCACGCTGCTGTCCCCCTCAGTTCTTCTCGTTGCTGTGCCAGCCGTCCACACACGCTGCGTCTCTCCCTCACTCTTGGTGTATCAGCCTCTCCCAGGACTGATCTCCCCATAGGGAGCTGGGAGGCTGTGTGGGGGGAGGGCGTGGGTTGGGGAGGGCTGATTCCAGGAGCAGCATCAGGCAAATTAAATCAGACACCAGAGAGTTGGGGAAATCGGATTGGGACTTAATGCAAAGCAGGTGGATAGGGAGGGGATGGAGGGACAGGCGAGAGTAGTGCGCTGCTTTTGAAGGGAAAACATCACACAGATTTGACTCCCTTTGCTTGTGGTAGTAACAAACTAGTAAGTTGAAGAGTAGACAGAAGGAGCTAGGATCATCAGATGGGGGTTGTGCCAGGCACTGAATTCCAACCGCTTCCTAAGGGATAGCCTCTCCCACTGCCTGGTCACACAGAGGTCAGGTCACAACTTGACAGGCAGGGGCTGAAGGGCCTGTGCATCTGATGGTATCCTGGCTACCCCCTGGCAGAAACCCTCATGCGTGGGGACAGGGCTGGGATCAGGGCCGGGATCAGGGCCTCAGGGGGATGCAGAGGTGGGACGGGGCATGGCATTGGGTAGGCTGGCAAAAGCATTTGCTTGAAGGCCTTTTGGCAGTTGCTTTTGCAGGATGCTGCTGTGGAGGATTATCTTGGCCTCAATCTCTTTTAATCTCTCCTGCAGCTTTGGCCCAATCCTGAGATAAATACCTTTTAACGGATCTCATCTGACGTCAGGAAGCATCAATCTAATCACCCAGGCCACCTCTGGGCCAGAGCTAGGCACCACTGCACTGCCATACCTGCTTACCTGAGACTGGACTACGGAGCTGGGGGAGAACAATCTGTCCCACAACCGGCTTCCCAGTCCTCTCCGAACACATGGAAGGAATTCTATAGGAGGGTGAGGAGGGGGGACATGACACTGGCTGGGTGGGGAGAGGGAGCCTGAAATACACTGTGACTTCATTCCCTCAGTGCCTGACCATGGAGTGAGAGTAAAGGATAAGGCGAGATGGGATGTTCTCTGATGTGGTGGGGAATGAGCACCTACTGGCATTAGAGTGTATAATGTTTGGTAGCATCTGCTCATCCTGAAAAGATGTGGGATACACAGCCATTCTGACTGGACAGAGGTTGGGAGCCAATGACTGTGCATGGCTTTCTCTTGTATTTGTTCTGGGCTCCCCTCACAGCTCTGTCAGTGCCCCTCAGTCCTGCCGTGCAGCCCCTGGTATTTCTGACCTGAGTCCTCCTGCATCTGTCAGTAGCCTTAACCCTGCCCTGTGGCCCCCACTGCTATCAGGCTGAGTCGGCCTTGGGCTCATGGATTTCATGCATCCTGGGTTGTACTCTGGTTCTAATCCCTCCCAGGAATGGGGTTACTGCTCTTTTCAGTACTCCCTCTTTGTCTCTCTCAGCTCCTGTTTGGCTGTAATATAATCCCATCTCTGGATGCTAATACTCTAGGCACTGACAGCAGATTGTTTTTATCCCAGCCTGGACAATAAATGATGCAGCAGCAGCCCTGCTCTCCCAGAAATATATATGAGAGAGAGAGAGAGATGGTGGAGCCCTTGTTTCAGGGCAGTGAGTTCCAGAGATCCCCAACCTCACAGCGTCAAGCCCACGCCCAGCAGAGAGTGTTTCTCCCTCCCCTCCCCTGTGCGTATCTGTTTGTTTGGAGCTTGGTTTGTTTTCCCTCTTCCAGGGCTCAGTCTCCCTCCATCATTTGTTAATTAAATCTCCATTCCTCACTCTCCGCTCTCTCAAAGGCCCACAACTCTTTCCAGCTTGGGTTGTTCATTTGTCCTTTATTTCACAGTCACACCTCGACCCTCCCTCTCCCTCTCTTGGTCACAAAACTCTCTGGATCTTCCTCTCCTTCCCACCCAATATCTGAAGAGTAAGAAAATCCTCCACCCAAAAAGGGCCCTAGAACTCCCTTCCCCTGCTTTGCTTTGGCCCTATATGAATATGGGTGGTTCCACTGGATGACAGGACATGGTGGAGAGGGAAAGGAAGGGGAGGGGAGCTTGGCTTGTTACTTCTGCATGGCAAAATGATTCTCAGGTCAAGGGAGTGAATATGGGTCTGGGTGCCAGGGCCCTTCCTGCTCATGATGCCCTCATTCTGCAAGCTGCACCCCTCCCCCTGTCAATGAGCAAGTACAATAAATTGCCCTACCACCTCTACCTGCTGTGTCCCTAAGAAGGTACCAGGCCAGTGGTGGTGGCCTGCCTCCTGCTGTCATGCCTTGCTTCAGAACTCATCCCTGGCTCGCAGGTTCTGGGGCTGCTGCCCTGATTCTGAACCTGGCCTATGTCTCTGACTTGTGGATCTGGCTCTTCCCTTGGTCACAGGGGGCTCAGGTGAGGCCCCACCACTGGGGTCAGACCCCGTAGGCTCCTCGCCATCTGTGTGTGGTGGTTCCCGCTCCATGTCTCCCTGTCTCATCAGGTCCTCAGCCTCCATCCGCTCCTGCAAGCAGACAGACAGAAGTTTGGTACAGCTGCTTCCCAGTGGGGTTCTCCACCCAAGTTCCCTCTATGCAGTATGGCTGCTTAGGGCTGTGGCAGGGAAAGGCACCTCTCCCCCAGCATGGGTCTGCTGTGCTGGACAGAGGCACCTCTCTCTGCCAGACGCAACACAGACCTGCCCGGACTTCCTGTGGCCAGGAAGAGATGCCTCTCTCCTCAGGCCAGGTGCTGCTGCAAGAAGAGAAAGCTAGGGGGATTCCTCTCTCCTCACTGTAGCCTTTGGTCAGCCTGCACCCCAAACTCCTCACCCCCATCCTAGAGCCCGCACCCTCAGCTGGAGCGCTAAGCCTCCCACACACCAACCCTCATCCCAGCCCCATCCTGGAGGCCTCACCCTCCACATCCTCCCAAATACTCTGCTCCAGCCCTGACTCCCCTCCCACACTGCAAGCCCCTCGCAGCCCCACCCTCACCACATTAATTTTGTTTTTGCATCAATATGGATGTGAGGTGTCACACATCACCTCAGCGCTGGTGCACATAACAAAATTCATCCTGCACATGTAGGGGAAAAATTGGAGGGAATATTGGCCTGCAGCTCAGCACACATCCCTGCAGTGGGAGTAGGTACATTGCTCCCACCACCAGCTCCTCAGCCCTGTCCTGGGGGACTCTCCCAGTCCTGCCACCCTCAAGAGATCAAAGATTTGCAAAAAATTCCCACCAAACCACAACAGTTTACCAATAGCTGTTACACTGTATTTTCTGTCTTTTTGGATTTGTCTCTCCCTGCCCATCCCCATGTGCCACATGCTAGGCTGCCCCCTGCCACACATGGATCGGGGCAGTGGGCAGCCTGGCTTGTGGCACACGGGGAGGGAGGCTCTCACCCCCACATGGACCCATCCCCTCCCCACAATTAACACTGTCTCCCTCCACTCAGTTCAGCCCACACCCCCATCATCCCAACCCCTTCAGTTCAGGCCCTGCACCCTGCCCTCAATTCAGCCCCTCCCACCTACAGTGGCCCCCACCCCACTCAGTTTAGCCCCCTTAGTTCCCATCAATTCGGTCCCCACAGACACCTCTGCTCCTCCTGGGGTACATCACCCCCTTCCAGGATTGGGGCTGCTGCAGGCCCCTCTCCCCCTTCCCAGGAGCTCTTCAAATCTCACCCCATTCCTTCCAAGGGTGATTCTTGGAGGGGGGCAGGTAAAGAGGCGCCAGCCTGTTCCCCTTGCTTCCAGGAGAGGAGGGGGAAGGAGGGACTATAGCAGAGTCTAGCTCCCCGTGCCCCTCCTGTGAGAGTGGGGAGCAGGGGGAGACTCTGCCAGCTTTCCACAGAGCTGAACTTCATGGAGCTCCTTGAGTCATTGGGGGATGAGCTCCAGCCCCCACCGAAATGCCATCACTTGCAAGAAACCTGAGAGATTTAGCAACACTGCAGTGCATGCTGCTCCCTCTACCAGGAATCCCTGTCCAGCAAGAGCCCTCACATAGTGCCCCCCACAGGAGGCTCTGCCCAGGCTTCTCCCTCCAAAGGGGACGGCGTTACCTGCTCTGCATGCTCCGGGGAAAGCGTGTACCACAGGGCAATGGCACAGCGCCTCCCGCGCGTCACTGCCCACACGCCGTGCGGATTCTCCCCTCCGGAGCTGAAGGCCACCAGCCTCCCACATTTGGGGGGCACCTGAGCCTGCCATAGAGAGGAGGCAGTGATGAATCCAGGGGGTCTCACATGCTGCCCCCCTCCACCCTGTGAATGGCCCTGCCCCCATCAGCAATTCACCCAGGAGGTGGAGTGTGGGGATAGCTCTTGTAGCAGAAAAGAAGTGGGCTTTACAAGGACTCTTATGTCAACCGAAAGCTGCCCCTAGGCAGCCAGGCGGGCAGGACAGGGAAGAAAGCAGGCGTTTGGGCTAGCAAGAGAAAGGCAGACACATGCAGGCTGACAGAGTGTGGGACATGGCAGCCAGGAAAGAGTTAACCTGAGACTGGCCTGAGATTTTCTTAAATTTGCCTTTGGCTGCCCCAATTTGAATCTGCTGAGTTTTGAGGGCTGGGTTCCATTGGAGTGGAGGGGCCTACCACACACTGGCTTTCCCCAGTGTCTGCCTTCAGGGCAAACTCCCATCCTGTCAGCCACTCTCCTTCCCTGGGCCAGACTGGACTCACCGTAACGGTCACTGCATCCAGTTCAGTGAAGAACAGGTCCCCACCAAGGAAGTCGTCGTTGAGATAGAGGATCCCACTGTGGAAAGGAAGAGACTGCTGCTGGATAAGGGAGATTCCCCAGATTTCCTTGCCTCTCTGCTGGACCCACACTTCACACCCTCCGTACAGTCTCTAGGGGCGATTGCGGAATTGCAGCCCAGCAAGCTTCACAGCTGTGCCAGGCAAACTGGTTGAAACAATAATTCAAATCAACAAGAAAATTAGAAGTTCATGATCTGCAGCCTGCCTGAATTCTACAAAGGAAAAATTTGTCTCACTGATTCCTTAGAAGTCTTTGAATGTGTCAGTAAAACAGAAAAAAGGAATCAATTGATATAATTTATTTAGACTTGCAAAAAGCCTTGACAAGACTCTGAATAAGAGCTACTAAAGAACTGAAGTCACAAGATGCGAAGCAGGGTTATGGGGCAAAAACTGGCTCCAGTACAGAAAATAAAGACTAGGCAGAAATGGCCAGTTTTCATCCCAAAGATTAAGAGCAGCAGCCTCAATGGTCTGGACTAGCTTTAATATATAAATGATCTGGACTAGCTTT